TATTAGTACTTTATTGAATATAATAATCGATCAAAACAATTTCTTTGTCATGATTAGTTCACTCTTATGACCTTCACGCCTCCTTTGCATTGCCGCTTGAAAGCAAAATTATCTACATGTAAAATTAACTAACTGCGGAATTCTATTTTTTAAAACTACAGTAACGGACAAAGGGTATTTATGATGTCATAGACTCTATCTTGGATATCAAATGAAACTCGTTAACTGTTATCAATTAAGTAGAAAAAAACGAAAGGTTACAATAACGTTTGGTGATGTTTGCTTACACTGTAAAGCTGGACAATTTATTTTGGAAACACTATCTCAATAGTATCGATCAGTTTTGCTCCATATAGTGATTTGAATTCAGCAATTCAAAGCTAAATATCGCCAAGCTTGGTAAAACTATGCAAACTTGGAGAATTTCGTGTGACTTTTTTAATTTGACTTCATTTACATGCAGACTCAACTTCAAGCGGTTGGACTCTAAAATATACGTCAAACATCAGTAAAAAATATATATATTTCAGATACTTTTTTAGGCTAAACAAATAACTAAGTTTTCCAGCAGCTATTTCATGTCTATAGTATGTCAAGCATCGTAGCTAACACTTATAATGGATAAGGTCGTCGATGCCCTCTTTGATCAGTATGGTGACCGCTGAGGGTTGTTTTCCTTGAATTGACTGCTCACAGCTTTTCAGTCTGAAAGGAAGACAGCAATTAAAGTTGGATGTTGTATACAAAGTAGTGTACCATGCTCTGTTTTAGCCTCGATGTTTGACTTATATCTTGATACTGAGCTAGTGCCGGTCTTTATAGTTCTAATACGGCTTATACAACACCAGTTGGTTCTTAATTCTAAAATTGTGTGATATGTGAACAATAAACAGCAACTCTATATCAGCTTGCTTGATTCAGAACAACACTTGTGTGAAAGCAAATAGACATTAAGAAACATTTTGTCCATGGAACGTGTAGAGGGTCTAGACTAAGGGGGCAGGGGCTGCTGAATATTAATCTAAGTTTCATGTTCTGTAATTCCCAGCTATGAGTTGAAATTTCACCCATTATCAGAAAATAACTTGCATATCTCAGATCTTAGATACCTATCAGCCAAAAACGCGTCATTTTTCAGCTGACAGTTAAAATCTAAATTTATTCTCATGATCATAGTCCGTTAAAAAAGTTACGTCGAGTTTGCGCATCTTGAAAACTTAAGCCTAAATTTTTCAAGTTCGTCGTCTGTAATCTGAGTTAATCTTCTCCATCCTTAACCATCCTTGTTCCTTTATGGTTTATTATTATCTCTTTGGTGTTTTTCTATCTTGATAAACTATCATTTTCAGGTTTTCTTCAATTTAAAAGTAATTTTGTACCTGGTCAAAATAACTCAAAATACCTTGACTTAGCTCCTTTAAACTCCTTCCTGACCTTATTTAAACGATATTTTAACGAACATTATTAACGGTTATTTTACCTCTGCCGACTCATCATAGTTGACAGTGTACTCGTACAGTGTCTACAAAAAGAAAATTAATTGGTTAACCATCACATCTGGTTTAACTAAAGTGATTTTTTTTTTGCTAGAAAAAGGTTCTTTTTCAATGTATTCGTCTCTATGGTCTAAATTAACAAAAAAAAATCGACATCGACAGCTGGACAGTGGCATATACAGATACACAGACAGTCAGATATACACAGACAGACAAATATACAGAGAGGGAGATAGGAGGACAAATGGCGTAAAACAATATAAAAACCCACTGGAGATCACAAGCAGCAAGTTACGAACGATTGAAAACTCATGGAACAATTAGTGATATCTCGGTACGCATTCTGATAAAAAGCAGGCAAAACTTGCCTGTCCCAACGAGCTAAAACTGAATCGGCAGCAGTTGACATAGAGACAAAAATGGCGCCTGCAAAACACGAAAAGTTAACGAAACAAAAAGAAACCTCATACCAGTGGCTGTCACGTACCTGGTAGATAAAGTTGTAGTGGTCCAAGGTACAAACAATGCCATGTCGGTCACGACGGAGGTTTTTGGACAGCTCAAATACATCAACAACTGATGTTTTACTCTCCTCGTGGCTTTTTATACCAATATCCACAGCGATATACACGCCACTGAAACCAAGACCATCACTGAAACAGAAAGAGGCGAACCACCTGCGTTAAATATTACTAAATGGCTTA